TAAACCCAGACTGTTCCCTTGACAGAAAATGGAGTGACCCTGAGGTATTGAAAAAACTTCTGCTTGCTGCTTTTTTTCTTTTAAAAAATCTGCTTCATGAAGTTGAAAGGGAGAAATTCTACTAGTCACCATCAATGACTGTTTCCTTCTGTAGAAGAAACTTGTGAAGATCTCCTCTTCTCATACTTCATGCAGAAGCATAGACTGTAACACACAAATTTTTTTCCCCCCCTCCCCCTTCTGTTTTGTTAAATGGGATTTGGGGACATCACGGGTTTAATTAGTGGCTGGTGTATTTTTTTTTTAAACAAAACACACACTTTTTTAATAGATAGGTGTATTTTAATTCTCAACCTAGTTATTGAACGCACCCATCCAACTTTTGAAGCTATTAAAATTTTAGTTGTACCTGGCAGCAGGTGAATCAGTGATTAAAGCAACTTTATTGCAAAGCCAGTAATAAAGACAGCTTTGCAGTACAGCCCATCTGAAAGGAAATTAAGGAATATATGTGCTACTATATAAAGTGATTATTCTTTTTTCTTTTTCCCCAGTTGCCTATTATTATGGTGGTTGCTTTCTCCATGTGCATTATTTGTTTGCTAATGGCTGGTAAGTCACTATTGAACTTAATGTCACAAAATTAGCTTGCTTGTATGTGGACTTCCTATAAACGGTTACCAGAAACTATCCAGTATAAAATTGCTTCTTGGTCATACTAAGAGGTGTTTGAGCATGGATCTGGATGTTGAGGGTTAGCACTTTATCATTAATACGGGGGGGAAAAAAACCCTATAGGTACTATAGAAAACTATTTTAAGTCATTTAAGAGGCAGTAAATTGCCCCCAGATTTAATTGCACCTGAGTAGACATCTAGTGCTTTTTTATAGGCTGGATGAATCCCCAGAAGAATACCTACCTAATTCTGGGCAGAAAGACAGTTCAGACAAATCAGATACAGGCATAAGCCTGTCCTGATAGATGTCCCTCTGATTACAATCCGCGTTGGGAGTTGTGAAGGTTTTTGCCTTCTACTTCTTGCCTTCACTTCTCTAACATCAGTGCCAATAGAGTTCTTGACTCTGACTTCTGTAGCTGTCTGTTCAAAATATTCTAGGAACTGTGTGGCAAACAGTTTTCCTAGGTAAGGAAATAGAAAAAGAAAAGACCCTCAGTACCCATGAAGGACTTCTGACTTCATTTGACAGCAGATCTCTGAGGGAAGGCTTGAAATATTTTGCTTTCTCACTGAAAAAAAACTTTCTGGTAGTTGGAGATAACGAACTAAAAAGTTTGTCTGACTCTTAACAGGTGATACATGGACTGAGACACTGGCCTATGTGCTTTTCTGGGGAAGTGCAAGCTTTGGAACTTTTGCTATCATCCTTTACAACGGCAAGGATTTTGTAGATGCACCTAAGCTGGTCCAAAAAGAGAAGATGGACTGAATTTGTGTGTGTGGAAAGCGGCTTGGTACTGAGGATTCCTCAAGCCACACTTGGAGTCTCTACTGACCTGCTTTCCACACCGATTAGTTGTCTTTTTAACATTTTTCCTTGGCAGTGGGGGGGGTGGGGTGGGGACAAAGAAAATCATGTCCTTTGGTGGAAGCTTTCAACTGAGACCTGACTCAACAGTCAGTTTCAATGGTCTTTGGAATATTGCATTAGTGGAAGGGGCTCTACTCTTACTGAGGTAATGCAAAGATAAAAGCCAGCTTTTTGGTACCTGGAAAGTTTTAGGATGCAAGTGGACTGCTTAAGCTCATAGTCCACCTGGGCTGTTTCAGCTGAATTTTTGGTTTCTGTCTTGACAGGAGAGAGCTCTGCTGTTCATGTGTCAAAAAACCCCGATGTTGAAGCATTAATAATGGAGCTTCTAATTGTGGTCTCTGAACAAATATGGCTTCATACAAATAAGTCTAGTTCCAAGACTTACAGCTGGATTACATTTGTTGTGATAAAGTCCATGTTATGGAGTCCTTCGTGCATATTTGTGTGTGGATTCTATTCACTAAATACAAAAGATTTTTGAATCCTAACGCTCTTCTAAAATGAACTTTTTGTCCTGTCTTGTTTATCTAGGACTGATGCAATATTCTACTAATCATTGTTTGGGTGAAAGGACAGTGTAATTGGATGTTCCTGAAGTCGCAAATGTCTTGCACTGTTTCAATACTACAGTCTCCAGATCATGATTCATTAGTTAGTGAGTTAAAAGATATCATTTTTCTTTCTAAAGATGTAAATGAGATCAAAGAATGTAAAAATCCTTTGCAGTGTTTATCACACGTTCCTTATGCTAAAGGTCCAAAGTATTCCATTACTTTAAGAATGGGTCACAACATAAAAGGTGAACTTCATATTGTTTTGCTAGTCGGCTGCTTCTATTCTTGGTTATGTTGAAATAATTTATGAAAGAAGGAGTAACAACATGAGGAGAAAGCCTTTAGTTTAAACTCCATGTTTGCACTTGGGAGCAGCAGCTTGCTTTTCATGCATGATACTGTAACACATTCTTTAAAAAAAAAAAAAGGAAAAAAAGCTACGGAATAATTTGTGCTGGTTAATAATAAATGTGTGTCTTCAAATTTAGTGCTTCCAAGCTGTATAAAAATAAGTAATCCTAATCAAGGACCAATTTTAAACTATTTTGTCACTTACTTTATATGGTTTGTTGAAAACCAGACATGGAACTTGCTTAAGGCGCTGTGCATTGTTTAATATTTCCTGTAAGTACAGCTGTATATTCAGATTGCAATTAAAAAATTTAAATGGGGGGAAGGGAGAAACATGTAGAATACTAGGACTAGCACAGTTGTCACTATTGAAGCTAGAACACAGAGCACTGATGCTCCAGTGTTTCCTTGTGTTATGACTGAAAATATGTACAGATTTTTGCAACTGTTAACTGTTCATTTTAACCTTGAATGTTTCTGGAAGCCTCTCTGGGTTTTGTGTGAACATAACCTGTTCATAAGCACTAGTACTTGCAAAGTATCTGTTTGCTTCTAGATGCTGTAATGGAAGTGCCAGTGGACGGTTAACTGGAAAACCCTCTAACTTAAAATTTTCAAAGGTGAACTCCATTATGGACACAAAGTACAAGAAGATCATAGACTTGGTACTTGAATGTAATGGGTTTTGATGGCTCACTGGCAGGTGCCGTTTGAAACTCAGTTTGCTTGTCTTGTAGTCTAGAACTAAATCTTTGCATCTTTGGTGAAGAACTTATTGCAGCAAAGACCAAACTTGAATTGCTAATGTAAAAGGTTTGTAAGACAATAACGTAGGTTTTAGAAGTTGGAAGGCACCGGCATTTCAGTGCTTTGCAAAGAGTCTGTCCTTCTAAAATCACAAATGGTGTATTCATAAATGACAATAAAATGTTCAACTTTTCTAGATATACTGTCTGTGGTGCATTTTGAGCTTTGGAGTGGACTTTCCCAAATTGTTCCTCAGGACCTGTTTCTCACCAGGATGGTTTGGTTTTGTGTCTGCTCCTTGCATGTGAAGATCTTACTAGTCTGTGCTTAAATATTGATCATCTTGCACTATACCCTATGCAAGAGTTGGTATTAGCATTGCCATCCAGCCTTCATTGCCAGGTCTGGATGAACTACTGTGGCTGCATTTCTCTGATGCTTAATCCTTAGTGTCACCCCTGCTCGCTACCGGTGACTCTTTACTTCTTCCCTCACCAGACTGCTTCACTGGTTTTTACTGCCCACAGCAAGAGTGCCTTGCAGTGAAAATTCAAGTTGTCTCCTTTCCCACCCTCATTGCAGGTGTGTATCAGCTTTCTTGTATTTTTTTCCATTGTTGTATTGTGGTATGTTAAACATACCACAGTTGCAAACTTAAAAGGTGCAAGTTCTGAAATAGCAAAATACTCCTCAGAAGATCCTAGTGTGTACACCTTAAATCGATGTGGTCTCACTAGCTGACCAGCTTCCCATACTCAGACAAAATTACTGTTAAAACTGTACGTTCTTTAAATAAATTAATTCTTTAAAGGTTGTACTCCGTCACCTTTGTGCGTGAGGCGGCTGTTAACACCCTCCGTCCTCCGTACCCCGCCATCTCCCTCC